GGTCTCCAGGAGACCAAGCAGAACATAAAGTATGTACTGCTTGGAAATGTGCTCCATTACCTGGTATGTGGAAGAGTCTTAGTGAAGCAGTGAAATACACAGATTGTGCAATCCCAGTATCAGACACATATGCTTACATGTTCTGAACTATAATATCCAAACATCCACTGTGTTTACCCATTTATCCTATAGAGTCTCAGGGAACTACTGGTGTTCTTTTCCAGTGGTCGTAGGGCAAGAGGTGGTGTTCTCCCTGAACAGGTCACCACGTCATCACAAGGCAACACAGAGACAGCATAAACAGATGTGTGTTTTGGGCAGTGAGAGGAAGCCAGAGAGCCTTAGGATGACCCACCCAAATATTGGGAAAACATGCAAACTGAATGCAATCATTCAAATCCATGCTCTTGCTGCAAAGCAATAGTGCTACCAACATGCAGCACAAATATTGGATATTTTTGCAGCACAAAGCTCAATAAAACACTTTTTTAGAGATGCAAGTTTATTGGTTGTTACTACAGTATGCTTTCTATGTATTTTTCAGGAAGCAAAGCCATGCATCTCTTTAACTTCTTTAAAATCACAAGATACCAACCTAGAGGCAACAATCCTTCAAATAAATTTTGAAAGGAAAAATAATCAATTAGTAGGACTTCATATGTCCTCCTAATTTGCATTTGGTCTGATCAAAAGCTACTTATATCAAAAATAAAATCAGCACATGTCACTTATCACAGCACATGTCCAACTTTGTTGTTATCATGCTAGAGATTAGTTAGACATAAAAGACAGATGTGGCTTATTTTAAACATTGAGTCAACCACACATCACTTTTAAAGCCTGGAAAGATTAAGCCTCTTTTGAAAACACTGACTGCTGAAACAACAGTTGTCTGACTGGACAGGCAGTAACTCTAAATATCCATCATGACATCACTTTTTCAGTTATTGTTCTCAATAAAGCAAATGAACAAGTATATTTTAATTCCTAAATTAAAAAATTCCAAGTGACTTTATCACTTATTTAAAGAAAGAAAAAACTTGACAAATAAGTGTTTAAGGTTACATGATACATCCTGACAGCAACCTATATGAAAAAAAAATCTTCTAGCAGGTTTAGAATAAAATAAAAAAAAATTAGGAGACACAAGAATAGAGATATGCGTATGTAGATTTACATGTATTTCATGAGATGTGCATATTTTTATTGTGCAAACTACAAAAACAACACCAAATTTAGAGAAGCCAGCTTTGTATCTGTCTGCATGTTTCTGTGTTTGTTTAAGTTCTCTCCAGTTACTTCATCTTCTTACCATAGTCCAAAAAACATGACAGTTAGGCCAGTTCTCTAAATTGCTTTTAGATATGTGTGTGTGTGTGTGTGTGTGTGTGTGTGTGTGTGTGTGTGTGTGTGTGTGTGTGTGTGTGTGGGTGTGGGTGGGTATGTGTGTGTGTGTGTGCATAGTTTGAATGTTATTCTACTATATTTTTTTCCACCTAACTTTCCATAAATACAGTGGAAAACAAAACTTGGTGAACTGTTAAAGACCTCATACCTTTTGATGTTTACCCTCATTGGTAAACAGGTAAACATCAATGACGCCCAGGATGCCCATTTTGGAGACATGTCCAAAATATTATGTGTGATTTCTGTTCAAAATTCTTTATCATTCGGTCTAATGTAATGTTCAGATTTTCAGGTGAATTGAAAGTTGAGTTTTCAATGACTTAAAAAGGCTGAATAAACTCATAAAATTTGTGGGCGATAGACCTTTTTTACATACGATTTTAATTATATATTTGAAGCATTACTTCTGTGAAGATCAATACATGTTGTGAGTGGGAGCATGTATGTATACAGCCATTGACTTAATCTCTCCAAAATATACATAACCACATAATCTCATAATTTCATTATTATGTGATCATAATAATAATAATATTATAGTAACAGTTATATTTTACTGAAATTATCTTACATAGAAAATATATACACTGTACTATCTTTATTAGACGTTTACCTGCGGGTGGAGGTGCCGTATAATCATGGTCCGCAGTAGCATCTTCAGCCTGGCTAGCTTTCTGAGAGAGGACAAACTGCCGTTTCTTAGCCCTCTCGAAAGCAGACTCTCTCATTGCCGGTGCAGTGAAGTTATTCCAGGCAAACAGGGAAGAAACAGCTCCACTTTTAAGGCGGCTGGTGGTGGATCCGCTAACAAAATCCTCCGGTGTGAAGTGGCGGCTACATACGAAAGTGCTCCCCGTCTTTATGCAAAAGTCCGGACCTTCATCTCTGCGGATCGCCTGGATCCACTGCCTCCGTTGGTCCGGGTCCGTTGGGAACGCATGATATGACAGATTAGGCTGTTTTCTTGCCCCACATGAACAACCAGGGACTGAATAAAAACAACAGCGCCGAGACTGAGCCACTTTCCTAGCCTTTTAATGCTAACACTATAGCCACCGGAAGTTGTCCAACACCACATCCACACAACAACAACCACTCCGGCCCCACGCATGCGTACAACCGCCGCGGCCCCGCGCATGCGCACAACCACTCCGGCCCGACGCATGCGCACAACTGCCGCGGCTTCGCGCACAACCAACCAGACACCGCGCATGCGCAGAACCGCCCCGGCCCCGCGCACAACCGCTCTGGCCCCACGCATGCGCACAACCAACCGGACCTTGCACATGCGCAAAACCACCCGGGCCCCGCGCATGCGCACTACCGTTCGGACCCTGCGCATGCGCACAACCCGTCTGGACCCACGCATGCGCACAACCACCCGGGTTCCGCGCATGCGCACAACCGTTTTCAAGGCAACCGGAAGTTGTATCCGCAAGGGCTGCGGCACTTCCTGTTTTGGTGACTGTAATTCAAGTACTCTGAAAAATGGCTCTTCTCCTCCGGTTCTTTTCATCGTCCTTACTTAATTTGCCAGCCCTTTCTTTCGCTGATGCGGAGGAAATCGCAGCGGCTAATTCATCCACCAACAAACGTTGAAAGGATACAAGTTCTTCCTCGAAAATATATCCACCGCTATCAAGGTAAGAAAAGACGTAGCTTAGCGAGCTAACCGCTAGCTACAATATATGAACTACACAACATCATAATGAAGCTTAACTTAGTTTGCTAAATTACGTTGAATATTAGAGACAAACATAATTTAAACTTTTCAATTATATTCTGATTGCAATACATTTTGTTCGGTAGTTCGAGTTCCTGTTCATATTTGACAGATGGAGAACTTCCACGTACGACTTCTGGACAACTCAGAGCTTTTTATAACATCTTCCTGTTCAGAGGTTACTGTTTGTTTTCTGTTTTTGTTGCGGTTGCAACAGTCTGTGTTTTTTATGCTGTTGTTGAAGCTTACCTTCACACTAGAATCTATTGTTTAAAGCTAAACATGCTATATATATTGATGTATATATGTGTTACTAAAACAGTTGTCTATTTTAGATATCACTGGGTGTTGGGAAAGAAAAGGCTGAATTACTGGATTATTCCTGTAGCTGTGCAGCTGGTAAAGGTTTTTGCAATCATGTAGTTGCACTTCTTCACCAGACTGCACACTACTCCCAACTCCAGCTGCCAACTGTTCCTCCTGCACAAGTGATTTACAAAGATGGCTCAGACCAAGAACACAGGTAAGAAAAAAAGAGTGGAACACATTGTCCTATAGGATGTGATATATAAATATACTAGATATACTAAATTATATACATTGCATATACTGTCATACACATATGATCTTAAAATAACAGTACTATAGTTATGTACACAATTTATTTCTCCTTTGATTGTGTCACACTGCCATTTACATTCCTTTCCCACCTGTATTTTATAATCGCCATATAAAATTTGTTGTAATCTCAATATTACTTGTGTCAAATATAATTTCTCTCATAGTTTGTTTGGAATATTTCTTTTTTGTAGGCAATGAAAAAAAAAAACAGACTCAACTGCTATCAATTAATTTATTTGCAAGTTGGGTAAAATCTAAACTTTGCCAAATTAGTCCCATTATGTCCTAACAAATTGCTCACTCGTCAATTTATTTGTCTTTAGTTTGACGTCTTTCTGTGTATTTCTTGTAAGGGGATACATCCTGAACCTGCCAGCAACATGGTGGTGCGGAAAAGATATCTGCACTCCACACTTTACAGAGCTTACACAGGTATAAGGTTTGGTTTATGTTTTCACACGTATGTTTCCTTTGTCAAAATTTATTATGATTATGTCACTGATGTTTGTAGGACCACTTCCAGATCCCCACATTCTGGCATCAGGAGAAAAACTAGGCCTGCTGGAGTCCCAACCACTTATCGCTCTTGTCCTAGATGGTCTTTCAAATTTGGAGCTGGTTCCATCCAAATTTGGGCCTTTGCCACAGGGCTCACCAATGTCTTATCAATAACTGTTGAGCAGGAGTGGCGTGATGAGACTTTCATTGATCAAATGAAATCTAAACTGGACTTATTTTACTTCAACACCTTCATGTCAATGGGTTAGGGTTAGGGTAGTCCAACCCCACATCCGCTTTAAAACGTGAAAAAGGTCTCTAGTCCATATGTTACATGAATTTTATATTTTGATTTTATCGCTTAAATAAATTAACTTTTAGATAATATTGTAACTTATTGAGACGCACTTATATTTGATTCGCACAGGAGGACTATTTAAATTTTTATCTCGATTTTGGAATTGCGAAAGACAAAGGAGGAGATGCGCTCCTTTTCCTTAAAAGGGCATATCCAAGAATGTCAAGGAAGCGTTTATGGGGAGTTACACTTTTTCAACCAGGGGAAGGTTGAGAAATTCCTACATTATTGTCCGTATAAACTTGACTATTCAAGTGCACTTTTATAAATACGTTAACAAAACCAATCATTTTAAAACTTTTTATAAGTGAAAGGTATTTAAATGTGTTTTATAACGAGAAAGAATTGTATTATAAACGGCGCCCACCCCCATGTTTATGTACTTGGTTTGTTCCGATGTTCAGTTCTGAACCCACAGCATCAGGAAGTAAAGGGCGGTGGTTGAGAAACGAAGCAGCAGCTGATTAGCTTAAAAATTGTTTCCCCGTAAGAAGGTAAGAAAGCGTTTGAATTTAGGTCTAAACATAATTTGGCAATACAAAAGTCTCATTTACGTATTGATGTTGTATCTTTATAAGCTTAACTAGAAAATAACGCCAAAATTTACGGTTTGTCGTGCTCGGCTAAGACCAATAATAACAGTTAGCGGCACAGCTAACCTCAAGCCAGCGAACATTACGGTATAACGTTTTTAATTTGATTATTTGGCCACCGGGTTCTGTTTTAAAATGTGATTGTTTGCTTAAACTGTTAAAGAATATGGCTGTTCTTAATCTTCTGCTCGCGTTTATTGTGCTTACTTTATTGTTTAAACTAGGCCGCAAAGCTTTTTTTGAGATTGGAAAAGGTAACAGGTTTGACGACCTGCTAATTGTTTACTGCTGTTTATTAATAAGAAATTATATAAAAGCCACGTTTGTGACAGTTGCACATTTGTCCAAAGATACAAAGTAAAGGTAGATAATAAGTTTGTCAATGGAAAATCAGTAGTTTTTGTGTTAACCAACATGAGGCGCTATTAAAAATAGATTTAGTCACTCATTGAAATTTGTTTAAATTGGTCTTATCTTAATTAATAAGGTTGTTGTTTCACCTGTTTGTGTACAGTTTGTAATTGCTCATGCTGTAAAGACAGCATGAGCAATTAAGCGCCTTTTACAGATAAAACTACGGCAAAACACTGCAAAAAACTCGCCATTTAAAACTTGATGTCAATGACATGAGACTTTGCCTTTCAGCGTCTCATGTCAAGACAAAGCAGTGGAAGTCTGCATTCCAGACATTTCCTGATAAGGGCATCCGTCCTCACATCAGTAACTTTCCCAGTGAAGGCTGCAAGCAAACCAACCTAGAAAGCTGAGCAACATTTCCATTTTTAGCTCAGCCAGGGACGCAACTCCAGGGATTTACTGCTCTGGAATTAAATTACACAGCCACTGAGATAGATATGGCATCACAAAGTTTTATTTTGAGTAGCAGCATGATCTGGTGCACCTTTTAATCGTAATCTTTTTCTGCAATTGGTCTGAACCATTTGTGTTGACCAGTATGTAAAATCACATGCTGATGTGAATATTTAACATTTCTCAATGGGGTTTATACATTTGGAGCATCTTACTGGTGCTTATTCTAAGTCTATAATCAGTTTTTAGCTACACAAATATTTAGAGAAAACAATTGTTTGAAGAAATATACCTATATTTTCATTTTTCATTGGTTAGATTTCAGAGTGGGTCACTAATGTGGAACTATTTTTTTTGCACTGTAACTGATTGTCATACCTCCATTCTAATGCTTCTCTCCAAGGCAAGTCAGACATATCAAGCTTTAACGATCCACGCCCTCCTTTTTGTTTTGACGCATTTTGATGACAGTCACACCATATGCATGTCTGCCATAACTCATGGTTTATTTTATTTGTATGGATGAAGACTCTTGAAGATGATTTCATTCTTTAAAGAAACTTTTTGAAAGAAAAAATAAAGATAATTTCAGATGTTATCATGTGGACTAAGCCTAGAAACCTTACGGTTGTTTTTTGCTTATTAAATGTATTTGTGTTAGTGGGACAGTTTTTCTCTTTGGTGTATTTAATTTTCTAGAAAAAGGGAGGTTTGTTTTCACTGTTTGATCTGCAGCTCAAGGGGTGACTGATTTTTTATTTCTTTTTGCACTGTTTTGCACTGTAACTGACTTATCTGTTTATCTTTTTATTTACTCTAAACTCCTTTGTCATCCCACTGATCTGAGCTATACCAATATTGTATTTCTACTTTTCCAGAAATATACTAAACCTGTCACAATGTCAAGCAAAAGGGCAAAGGGAAAGACAACCAAGAAGCGCCCTCAGCGCGCCACCTCCAATGTCTTTGCCATGTTTGACCAATCCCAGATTCAGGAGTTCAAGGAGGCCTTCAACATGATTGACCAGAACCGGGATGGCTTTGTTGACAAAGAGGATCTTCACGACATGCTGGCCTCACTGGGTGAGTAAAATGTAATTAGCAGGGTTTTTTTAAACATAACTTAATGATACACAGTTTTTACAAATAATGCTACATTTGTTAATATAGTTTTGGCTCTTATTGCAAGCAATAGTATATTTTCATGCCTGTTTGTAAATGAACTGCAGTGTGCTTGGGGCTGTGCATGGCCACATCTTTAACAAACAAACTGATCAGCTGTGCTTTCAGGCCACAGTGGCTCTTGAAGTTAATTTTTAAAAGCAAACTTGGGACATTTTTGTTTTAGCTTTTAGTAATGAAAATTACTTATCCCCAATTGAACATTTACTTATTGGAGTCATCAGTAATTGTTTTTCTCTTTCTTGTTGCTTTAGATATTTTTAATAAAGTTTAAAATTGATTTAACACTGCCTCAGTTAACTACATATGTGAATTTTATTTCTGCTCATGTTTAGGCCATTTCATTGTGTTATTGTGTCTTGATTGTGAATGTTTTTAAAGCCCTTGTGTTTGAAAAGTGCCAGCCTATTTGTTCCTGTCAATCAAAATGTTCCCACTCAATGAACCGATAAAACAAAGCAACAGATGACTGGATCATTTAAAATTAAGTTCTCATTCAAGTTTTGACCAGCTTGTTTATTTTCTCTACTGGTGAATATACAGAAACTGGGAAAGTTGAATGCAAATTAATTTGTCTACTGTTTAGCTAACAAACATGGGCTTCAATCAAACAGAGAAAAAGACCTATCTGACAAAGAGGAACCATAATGTTTCACCTTCTACTTTTTTAAATTGTTGACATTTTAATTTTAAGAGCCTTTTGTCTTTTTAAAGGGAAAAATCCAAATGACGACTACCTGGAGGCCATGATGAACGAAGCACCTGGACCAATCAACTTCACCATGTTCCTCACCATGTTTGGAGAGAAGCTCAATGGCACAGACCCTGAGGACGTGATCAGAAATGCATTTGCTTGCTTCGACGAGGAGGGTACAGGTAAATCTGAGCTTATTTATTACCAGTGTTGGTCTCAAAGTGCAGAGTTCATTCATATTGTTGAAAAGTCTAAAATAAATGTTAAAATGGGCAAATATTCACACATTCCATTTTACAAAATTTATTTTTAAATTGATTTGATTCGCCACATCAATACTGAACTTTAAGACCTACCTACCTACTGTGTGTTTTAGATTTGGAGTAACTGACAAAAGCCCCCCCAAACATGGATTAAGATCTGTTAAAAAAAATTTGAAAGTCAGTCTGCCTGCTTTTATGTCCCCCAGAACCTCGTAGACCAGAGTGTTAAACTGGAGCTGGTTCTGGTGTAGATGGCCAATAAATTGTGACGCAGCAGCAAATGAGATGAGTCATTGTCATTGGGAAGCCTTGTGTTGAAATTTTGATGCTTCTGAACAGAAGATTAGAAATGATCTGTGGACTTCGCTTTACACTTTGTGGGCTAAATACTAAACACTATTGGGTGTTTAAACAGAAAATACTTGATGTATTTCTTGACTTTCATCTCTTGCTGCTGTGTTGCACATAGGTATTTTAAATTGTAAAACTAGAAGGCAAAGTACTAAATAATGATGAAAATACCTTTTTATTAAATGAGAGAGATGGACATTTCCTCACCACTCGATGAGCTTCTTGATCTCGGTCAAGAGAACAAACTGAGCCACAAATGACAAAGAAAATATGTTTGGAAGGCAGAGTGCAATACATCTCACCTGAAATATTACAGCCTTTCAAAGCAGTCATTTTCAGGGATTGTGCAAATTTACCGTATCTCGTAATTATGAATTTGAAACTATAAAATGCTTTGCATATGCCACACGGTGGATTTCACTTCTTGAGTTTGAAGCAAAATACTTTGAAATGATATCAGACCTTTCCAGAAGATGGTGTGGCCTTCTCTAATTGTTTTACCCAGCTTTGAGCATTCTATCAAATGATAAGCATCTCATCACAAGGTCATTATAGTTCTTGTTGTCTAACTGTTTGCATTAGGTTTTATTCCAGAGGATTACCTCAGGGAGCTACTCACAACAATGGGCGACCGATTTACAGATGAGGAGGTGGATGAGCTCTTCAGGGAGGCTCCCATTGACAAGAAGAATAACTTCAACTATGTGGAGTTCACACGCATCCTAAAGCACGGTGCCAGGGATAAGGACGATTAAAGCACCTACAACAAATTGTTTCCTCTGACCTGCCTCTGCCTCTCTGCCGTCAGCTAGATCATGCTGCATGTCTCGACTTTACAGTAAAGGCCCCGTTAATACAAACCAAAGCAATAACTATCCACTCTGTTTGCTGTGAACTTGCAGTTTTGCCAAATGAGTTTGTAAAATCTCCTTAAGATGTGGCAGAACATTAGTAGCTCGAAGGGATTTATGACTTTGCAGTTCATGTGATCACATTTAGCTGAATTTTTACATTTATAATGTAAACTTTTTAAAATAAAGCCCTCTATCAAATTATATTTTTTTTGACTGTTTACCTTCCATAAATACATATGTAACAAAGTGCATTATTCTGCCTCCCCCCCATATAAATTGGTGTAAATGGCATTCTTGAGGACCAGCTGTGTCTTGACAAGTCTACTCTCCTATTTCATCAAAATCCCTCGACGTGTTCTGACTTGCACAAGCTGGATTCTTTAAGATCCGACTGGAATGGTGGTGGTTCTAGAGCATACTGTTGTGGCAGCCATTTTTAAACTTGCATAAAGGGAAATGTGTGCTGATGCAAATATGAACTGTCTGGTTTTGCCTGTTAATCTTAAGTCTTGAGTAATAAAACGTTTAACAGACAAGGACATTGAGCTGTAAATGAAGACTGCCCAGTGTATGACCTCATTCAGTTTTGTTTTATTGGTGAGTCAGAGCTCAATTCAAATCATCCCATAAAAAAAATCTCACTGATAATGGTTATTCCCCTGAAGTGCTGTGCCTTTCTCTCAGGTTTATATGGATCACTTCAGACTTTTCTGTCGTCTATTTTTAACAAACACACTGAGTTCCAACAAATTACATTTTCTTTATTTGACTTGAGACTATTTAAAGTAATTCAATAGCAAACTGAGCTTTGTGTGGGCTTTGCTTCATAATGCTCGCATTGCTGAAGTTTGACTTGCTTTTGCGTTTTTCCTCTCACTTCACTTTAAATTATTAACCTTGGAAACTGCTCACGCAGAATGTGACATTATTTTCAAAATGAATAAGAAATAAATAGATGCTTGAAGAGAAAAGCATAGCTATTGTAACAAATTAACGTTTGATATGACATTCTCTGGTCAAAAATTATACAATTGTTACTGGAGAATTTAATATGATCCCGATCAATTATAAAATATGGACCTAAATCACAAGTTTGTCGTTTTCATAATTTTATGTGACGTTTGGATGGATCTTTATCGCCATCTAGTGCCTGAAAGAAATTTATTGTGATACCTTCATGAGCGCCCTTCAAAAGATGGAAATCCCAAAAGTGAAAATGACGAGCAACACATTGTAAGGAACAATGTTACGTTTTTTTTTTTTTTACTTTTTTATTACAGCCTGATTATTTCGTCATTTTACAAATTGCAAAATGTAGCAATGCTGTGCGGTTTATTCTACCTTTAACCTTAAGTTCACAAACTTCATCTAGTTTTCGAAAGTCATATTATTTCTGAGGGAACGTAAACACAACATCCGGAAAACGTTTTTAGCGTCACTGCAGTCAGCACGGGTTTGACCCTCAGCGGCTCTCGGGAGGTTCAGGTATGAATTTATTGCTCCCTATCTTAATTTTTATACTTTTCTTGCTGGGAATGAAACTTTATATCTTACAGCTTACTTGCAGCAACAACAGCATTCCGGCTACTGTTAAAACCAGATGTAAACTTGCACGCTAAACCTAGCCAGTATAGCTAGCAGCAGCCCTCAAGGTTGGTTAATTAAGAGGTGCAGAGGAAGAGTTGAGAATTAAAGGAATCATAGCTGTTTTCTTTAGATTATTTTTGTCCGAGACTGAAAGTGACCCTAAAATAATTACATTTGTTGGATCCTCCACTGACTGAACTAATATCATCTCTACATCAGTCATCAATTTGTATGCAGCCTACACATCTATAATCATAATTTACCACAGCAAATAAATATCAACTCCCGTATTCGTGACCCTTAAACTTTTTCTCAGTTTGCCACATTAATGAAACTAAAGTGTATTTTAGTGTAGGTTCATTTGACAGAAACAGAGTAGTTCCTGAAGAGGAACTGTTTTTCACGCTGGTATATAACTAAACATTCCCTGAGTTGGTCGCATCGGGTCTTGATAACTCTGTCGAAGCTTCGTTCTCATTAAAAAGATTTTTCTTGTAATTTTAGGATGTTTTTTTCTGGTAAATTGCGACTTCATCCTGTTAATATTGTGTTTACATTCTTGTAATTAAACAAAACTGTTCATAACTTGACCCTAATACTCCATCATTTAACTCACAGAAGGAATGACTGAAATAAAAGTGTATTTGATTTGTAATTTATTTTTAGAAAAGAAAGTGAGAATAAAAACCCTTGTAAAATCAGAAATCAGATCCGGTGTGAAAAAAAGCCATATTTCCCAGCCCTACCTGTTATTTAAGTGTTGTTCTTTTTCTTGTTCCAGCTTGGGGAAGTTCAGGAGCAGACTCATGGCTCTGAAACTTACTCAGAACCTTTGCTTTGCTGGACTCATATCGGTCAGGCTCCTGTACAGCAGTGGTTTGGGCCGTTACCCCTGCGCTTCCTGTCTCTGGACGTCAGCCGCCCACTGCATCCACATTCACGGCTGCAGGAAACTCCGGACGGACTTCAGCTCGAGGAATGTGACCACCACAATCAGGGAGCCATCGTTTTTCGCCAGCAGCACTGTGGCAATACACAGAGACGCTGAGATCCGGTTCCATCTGACCCAACTGCACCGACCCTCGCATGATGAAGAGAAGAGCTTCCAGAAGAAGCTGCTGGGCTGCTCCACTTCCCAGCAGGTTTTCAAGCTGCTGTGCTCGGTGGAAGTCCTGTCTGACACCATGGCAGCAGCCTGTCTCCACCGCGTGGCGGACCTGGAGCAGGATGGTGCAGCGCTGAGAGACCCATCGGTGCTGGAGAAGGATGCCATCCGGGCCCTTTGCTTCCAGTTGGAGCGGGACTCGGAGCGGCTGACAGAAGCAGGGCTGGTGTCAGCGCTGCTCGCCTGCACCCGCCTATTTCTAGATCCCTGGAGCACGCTGATGGTGCGCCTGGTGACGGAGAGCCAGAACCGGCTTGACGGGGAGAAAATGGCAGTTGGAGAGCTGTGCATGCTGGGCCAGGCAATGCTGGCCATGGAAGGTCCAGAGTCCGCCATGCTGGAGCAGGTAATGGAACAGATCAAGAAGCAGGAGCCCGATGATTGGAGCGTCCCAGATCTCGTAGCCGTCTACAGACTTCTGGAAGTGTGTGTGGGTGAAGACGGGAAGCACGGCGACTTGTTGAACGCCATGCACATCAATGCAGCGACGGTCACCTCCAGGATGAACCCGGCTGCGGTCAGCGGAGTCCTGAGTTCGCTCGTCGCTCTCAACCAGAAGCAGGCCATACCTCTGGTGATCAGTCTGTGTAAGCAGGCCGTGCGACATGTACCTCACTTCAGCGACGAAGAGCTCAGCCACGTCTTGGCCGCTCTGATCCACTTCGGCCACAGTGACCGCTACTTTGTGGATGCAATGCAGAAGCAAGTCCCTAGAAAGGCCTTCACCTGGCACCCGGAGACCGTATCTAAGGTGACGGAGTTCTTCAGCCGCAAGAAAATCCTGTCCCCGACAGTCTTCAATGCCGTAGCTGAGAGCTTCGTGTACCGGGCGGACAGCTACAGCACCAGCCAGATTGCCAGGCAGATCATGGCCTTTGGGAAGCTGGGCTACCTTCCGCCCAATGTCGGCCAGCTGTTCAGGAAGGTGGAGACCATCCTGCACACTCGTTTTTCTCAGTTTCAGCCTCTGATGCTGCTGAACCTGCTGCACGCCTGCACGCTGGTCGAGAGGTTCCCCGTCAACTTTCTCTCTAAAGTCTTCAGCCGTTATTTCCTGCACCAACTACAAGGTAAAACACACATTGTCTGGGAATCTCTGAAAATCAGGAAATTATCACCGAAAAGTTGAAGAATTGAAACTCGTATATAGACTCTTTACACAGAGTGATTTCAAACGTTTATTTCTGCTAGTTTTGATGATTGTAGAGCAAAGCTTTCATTTAAAAAGAAATATTACAGAAAACATAACATAAAGTGTTTTTAATATAGTAATGTGATGTTTATGCCCACACAATTACTGGGTAGACTGCTAACTTAAAATTGTCCACATGAAGTGTAAGCAAAAATAGGGTAATTGATTAAAATAAGCAGGCTCCTCATAAACTGATGGAAAGTTTAGTCGAAGAAAAAAGTGTGGCAGAATATAATCTGACTCCACTAGGTGTCCTGTTGGAAAATAAAATGAGCATCTCCATAAAGTGTGTCAGCAGAGGGAAATATGAAGTGCTCCCCTGACTTTGGAGTTGATAAAACACAGCGGTCCAACACCAGAACGTGGACCAGCTCCTGTCCATGCTCTGTCCATGGACTGTGGAAACATTAGTCTTGGTGTTGAGCAGGATTGATTCTGTGTCCAAGTTTCTTCTGGGATCATAATTTTCAACTCCGGTCCTATTTCTCCCTGGCCCAGGGAAGACGTAGCTCACTGTGTATGGTGTCTCTTGAAGCCCTGAGTCTAGTTCAGAAAAGCGGTATCCCCAGGGGTGGTGCTTTGTTTTCTACCGCACTTATTTTCTGCAAAACTTTCCAATAACATGATTAGATGAAGCAGTCTGGTGCGTGTCAGTGACTGTGTAATCCATAACACACGGTCTGTTTTGGATTTTTGGGGGATTTTATCCAAAAAAGACCGTAATCATCAAAACAATTAAAAAAAATAAATGATTTAAACATTTCATTCAATGTGAACTGAGTTTATAAGAGGTTCATTTTCTAAATTGAATTACAGTAATGAATACACGTTTTAAAGATTTTCAAATTTCCTAAGAAGCAGTTTTCCTCTGAATTTGTGATGAAACCAACATGTTTCTGTGCTTCAGATCAGAACCTGTGGATTGAACGGGCGGTTCTGGCGCAGCTGACTCAACTCTACATGACTGTGAAGCTGGAGTGTCCCATCTATGAGGTAAACGCCTCAGACGCTTAAATACTTGGAGAGCCAAACGAGAACGAATCGTGACAGAAACCTGAACACACACCCAGCAGATTAGCAGCAGTGTTACAGGTTCAGTTCTTTGATTTCTTCAGAAAATAAATGGAACACAGATGTGAACATATTTACCATGTAATTATAATTCATAATGAAACAAAATACACCATAAATACTTTTTTTTTTTGGTAAAGATTAAATAGAATACTTAAGAAAACTGTTTAATGGTCTGATTGCTTTTGTAAAAAGTGGAAAAGCAACAATTATTTCTCCTGTTGCTAAAGTACTTCATTTAATACATGCCTTTCTGCTGTAATTTCTGCCATAGGTGCATAGTAAACTGTAGTGTTTTATATTTTAAAGTGAATGTTAAAAACAGAAAACCTGTAAAAAATTGATTAGAAAAGTCTGCATATGTCCTTAACTCTTTACTATTTACTGAAACTTATACAACCATAATTCAACTATATTTCTTAAATTGGGTAAAAAAAATTTAATAATACACATTGCTATATAATAATTCAACTGCATTTTGGAATTGCATTTTCCACACTATAGTTTCTTTCCCCATTGTCACTTTCGCTATGCTTTCTGATCTTCCTGTAAGATCTATATATTTATTGAAATCCATATGGTTTGAAATATACTAAATATATACTAAATGTTGCATCTTGGCATTCTGTGCAGTTGTAATTTTATTCAATGAAATACTTTGTTCTAAAATCCTAAACTATCCATATAGCTAAAATGCACTCTGTAGTGACTCACTCAAAGTCTTGAATTCCTTAACTCTATTTATTTGTGGCCATATTTTAACTATTTTTTAAAATTGCTTATTTAATCCCAACATCAGGGTCCTCAGCTCCTTCCACAGTACCGTGTCAAGTCCTTCCTCACGTCCAATCGATCCCTGGAGACGCCGGTTGATCAGCAGCTGTATAACTCGGTAAAATCGGGGCTGGTGGATTTACTCGGAGACCGATCGTTCTTCGGATCTCAAGTTCTCACGCCATACTGCTACACGCTGGGTATTCCGTTTTTTTTGTTGTTGTTGTGGTTCATGTCTTTCTCAAGGCTCATCTTGCAGTAGAGTAACCTGTTATTTTCGCAGACGTGGAGCTAAAGTTCGATGAGGAGGGATACATTCTGCCTGCCAGCCAAACTGATGAAGTGTACAAGAGGTAAATGTTTTAGATACCTCGAATGTTTCCACATTTTGTCATGTTTCAAGCAGAGGTTTAAGTTGACCAACAAGAAGTTGTGCATAATTTAGAAGTACTAGAAAAAGTTTTGGAAATAAATCTAAAAAGTGTGTTGTGTATTTTATGCTCCTCCCCTTCTAATAAGTATCTTGTAAAACCACCTTTCACTGTTCTTACTGCATATCTACCAGATTTGCATATCTAGAGAACTTACTTTCTTCAGGATAGATTTTCATCTGGATTTAGGTCTGAACTTTGACTAGGCTATTTCAGAACATAATAGTGTTATTCAAAATCTTATTGAAGGGTATCACTTCAAAGCCATCTTTATTTTAAAAAAAAGCAACCCACACCTTTCATATATATTTGAAAAAATAAAACCATCTACAAATAATTGATGAAACCATCTATTCCAGGATAGCTCTTTGTATTGATGGACACAGGAGGTTCACAACTAATGTAAGACAGCTTCTTGGGAAAGAAGTCATCAAGCAGAGACATCTTCGGCTGCTGGGCTATGAAGTTGTGCAGGTCAGACCCTCACTACTAAACGATTAGTCGCTTCATTTGCGTAGATTGCTGCTTGCTAATCTTATGTTTTTAAATTTCCCTTTATTTTTCCAGATTCCTTTTTATGAGTTTGAAAAATATCACCGCATGAGCAAAGTGGTGGAGTATCTTCACCAGAAAATCTTCCCTCATACATTCAGGCTGAGCTGGTGATGAGAAGGTTTGCTTGAACAAATGCATATTTATGTTTTCTAACTACAATCATTGCCAAAAAAGCAGTGTCTTGAAGATATGTTAATAACTGTGAAATATTTAACCTATCATTAAAGTGGCTTTTTTTGTACCATGGATCTTTTTTTTGTTTTGTTTTTTTGAAAGACTTCAGCAAAACAGTTTGATTCCGTTTGAAAAATATAATTTATTGCGTCTGTAACTTCGGAGACTGTACAAAGTTAAGAAAACCCCTTTTCCTACCATTAGGACAAACTAAAGTGAAACATAATCATAAACTTTAAAGGAGCCTGATTGCAACTTTGTATTCCATCATTCATCGGTCAGAAGATGCTTTGGTTTACATCGCGGTCTCCAAAGACCTGGAGCGTCAGTTGGATAAATACAGAAAAAGGGAAAAGAATAATATGATACATGTAGAACTTGCACACTGTTTGATCAAATCACTCCTTTAAGAAGCAGGAATCTGAGGAAGTCCGAACTCGTCCACCAAAACTCCATCCTGGAACAAAAAGAAAAAACAAAAGATAAGTTCCTTTAATAAGGAGTGTAAAGTTCACGTTCCACATAAAGTTAAAAAAGAAATCCAGAAGTTATCTGGTACCCTGTTGGTGGATCTATCTCCAGGGATACCCTCTGGGATGGAGGGAGCAGTGGCAGCCTCATCTAGGTAGGAGCTGTCGTCGTCCATCAGGAGCTCGTCTCCCAGGGCGTCCAGCTCTGAAGACACAAAACACATCAAATGGTCAATCGCATCAAAGTAGAACATATTACACAAAGACTCTCACAAGAGAGCGTTTAAATTCTACGTCAATCTAAATAAAATACTTTAGTTTGAACTCTTAACATTCTAACTATGTCCTCCATCATGTCCTCCTTTTGCTGCCTTTGGAATGATTTTGTCTGGCTCACGATCCAAAATATTGGTACGAATGTCAGCACAGTTAGTTTATAAAAAATGCAAAAATTAATATCATGGACGAACAAGAGAACAATTTTGGATAAATTATATGGACACAATGTTACAACAAAGAAATGGCATATGTTTTGAAGTACAATAGCTCTTAATCTTCTTTTTTTATACTTGACCTAAAAAAAATCTTTTAAAATCTAGACCAAGGGAGCTCTGTGGATTGTGTTCTGTTCTAGTAAAATATTTACAATTTGATCACTAATTAGATTAGTAACAGTTTTCATAGTTTTACTGAAAGTGTGACGTTAAAATGTACAGTATTTGTTTGCCTTACCTGCTTCCAAGTCGTCCTCATCGATGTCCGGAGTGCCGTAGCTCCTGCTCATCGCCTCCTGGATCTCATTTGCATCCTCCATCATGTCCTCCAGCTGATCTTGGATATCCTTTATATTAAATAGTACAATTAGAAACATAACTCTACATTTCACTTTACTAATTTAGAATAAAAACACAAACAAATGCAAACTTATTTAAAATTATTTACCTTAATTTAAGGCTTTTTTAAATATCAGTAACTACTGAATTAACCAACAAACATACACACCTCGATCTTATCAATTTTCACGTTCTTGTATGCTTTCTTCATGTCTTTGAGGCCGACTTTCATGGCATCAACCTGAAGAGAATTGTAGCATTAGTAAACACCAAGAAAATACATATATTTTCCCAGTAATTCCCTTCTAAATTTCACAGAACACGTCTTACTGTGGTTTTAGTATCTTTCAGGTTCTGGATCGTGTAGTTTGTTTGTTCCATGTTGAACGACTGCTGCATGAGATTATCTCTCTGCCCCTCATACCTGCAAATAGATTACAAAACTTAAACTAAACAGTAAAAACATTCAAAACCTAATATGAGTCATTTATATATACATAGCAGTACCTGCAGAGAACCCACACATGCACATGAAGAACATTCAAACTACATGCAGAAAGACTGCAAGTCTGGGTTGTAACCCAAAACCTTCTTGCTGCAAGGCAACAGTGCAGCTCTAATTTATATATTAATACTATAAAAATAAAAGATTGATAAAACGACTTACATTCTCTTCTGCTTCAGAACTCTCAATGCCTTTTGCTTCACCATGTTCTACAAAACAAAAAAGAAAACTCATGAAGTTATGCTGACAGAATATTATGGTGCAAGTAGTAGTACATATCCCATTTTCTGCGCATTTTCTGTTTTATGCAACACCGATTTTGGATTATCTTCGAGAATTTTTGACAAGCACTGACATTTATTTGTGTTTAAAACTTTGTTATTTAACTGTGGAAGAGACTTATGACCCTTGGCTGAATTTGTAAATATGTCGAGTAAGTCAATAAGAGGTACAATGATGATACAAACAATATCAATGGCTAATATTCTGTGTTCATTTATTATAAGTGCTTATTTTTAATCGCATATAGGATTTATAGCATACATATGCCTTACCATTATCACTTTTGGCAGTTTGGTTAAATTCTTTTAGGCACTAAGCTTAAAAAAACTATTACAGGTTAATTAACTGATATTTATTTAACCACTGAAAAAATATACACATTTTAAGATAAATGTTCTCTTTTAAATCAGAGCCTTTCATGGGGTCAGTATAAAATGATTGCGGTACATTTTCACAGAATTTAGGATAAATTTCCAGGATATATGCACGATCCTGTTGTAATGGAGCTTTTAACATTTTTTTCAAATGGAATCCTTTGTCCTGAAACTCTTCAGAAAATGTTGTGAGCACAGCGACTGAAAAAATGAGAAATAAAAAAATAATAAAACACCTGTACTTAAATTTTTAAAAAATGAATTCATCTCTCAGACTTCTTTTAAACATGCACTCATCTGCTCATAGACATTTCTACATTTTAGTGCTTTACTCATGCCTCCAGCGTAATCTGTGTGGATCTATTTATTCTTTTTATGTCGTTGTGTGAGGAAAAAAAATCCCCTTCATTCTTTTACAGCAGCCTCAAACAGCTGACCTCACCTTTGAAGGCCCATCTCTCATCTTCTTCATCTGATCCTTGTACTTGACAAGTTCAGCATCTAGTCTGGCGATTTTCTTGTCAATGGACTCCGCCCTGGAGTCAACCTACACGGAAAACAAAACAAAACACAGTAAAATATTAGAGTAACAGAGGGTAATCTTACACAACAATCTCCAAGCCAAACATTATCACCTATAAAGGGTTATAAATACATTTAAAAAAACCTACCAAATTTGGCTAATGTAACAGTATTTTCTTCTGCTCCTGTCAGCTCATAATAGTAAAGCATATACACAACCGACCGGTTTAACTGGTTTATTTTACATGGTTTTGAAAAAGAAAAATGCTTTTTTTTCTAATTTAGCTGAAAAATACTGCCAGATCATGCTATTATATAACGCTGAGTCACTACCCGGACAAAAAACAATAGAAAGTTTTGTTTTCATGTCTTGTTTACAAGGTAACAGACCGAAAAAAAAAACACTCTTAGGTAAACAATCAGCCATTTATATTCAATAAATATATCATATAAAGTGTACAAGGATACAGACTCATAATAAAAACAGATATAGTACATATTCTAATTGTAGTTACTAGCTGCTAAAGTTGGCTAACAGTCGGTTAGCAAGTATCCATGTCGGTTTTTGGTTACTTAGTAAATTTCCCCGTTGAGAAAGTTTAAGTGCAGGATTTTACTTACACTTCCTATACAGTCCGTTAGGTTTGGAGGGGGCCCTTTGGCTTTCCCTCGGCCAAAAATACGATTCATCTCGGCGGTATTATAGTCAAAGGTGTCACAAAACCAGCGAAGTCCACAGTTTAACCTAAAGAAGTAACCCGGAAGAATCTGGGATGACGTCAGAAGAATCACATGATCGCGACACCGCCCTTTAAGGTTCTAATTGTTTCTCCCATCCAGTGTTTGTTTTTATATTTTGTATTTAAGTATATTTGTCTTCCAAGGAATGGAAGACAAAGACAAATAAATATAATAGCATAATACTTATTATTATTATTATTATTATTATTGCTTTTTCACATATTGTTTTTCACTTAATGATTTAAATGGAGGATATAACGCAACAATGTAAGATAATATGTAAAAAAAAAGTTAGACATGACTATTTCAAGCTGTTGCACATAGTTTAACATATTGACAGTCTGACTTTGAAGCCAATAATACCTGTACTACCACCATGTCTTGTTTATGTGAAATATCAATAAAATGTTAATTTCCAACCATTGTACCACTCTTTGTCCTCTGGGTGGCGCTGCTATTTCGCAATATAAAACATCAAAACAATGACTGTAGCAATCTCCCAAAGTCTAGAACAAATAAGCGAAGATGCCGAGTCAAAATGGTGGTGCACATATATAGTATTTCTCATGGTCAGGAAACTTTTGAATTAATCAGTGAGAATGTCAGTGTGAGAATTTCATAAAAAAAACAAAAACAACAACAACAACAAAAAAAGAATTAGTTTTAATTAATTAAACTTGCTTTAATTTTGACAGCTTCACAGACAGGAACTACACACGTCCTGCACAAATAAGAGCAGACAGACCCAAAGTACAACAGATTTAAAGAGAGCACACAAAGATCATGACAAATAGGGGGGAAAAAAACCTATGCATTCATGGTCCTTTTTAATATTATAGATGTTTTCTGTTTTGGTTTTAATTCCACAATATACATGTAGCAGCCAGAAAATTAGAAATAAATAGTTTTAGCTGTCCAGATGAATTTCTACATATTTTACACAGTCTCTTTGCAGCACATTAGAAACAAACAGCAGTCCATTAAGCATGTTTTAGCTTCTGATGTCAGCTTTTACATCACATTGATGATGACTCACATGCTACGAGTACAGTTTATTTACATGATGACTGCGCAAAGTTGTTCAACTTGTAATCTTTGCTAAATTTTAAAGACACAGCATTATTGTGTGGGTATTATAATAGACTGTCGGTCCACAACTTGTAAAGACTGCCATTCATATGATTCGATTGAACAACATGAGAAAGAGTTCTTGTCATCCCTGTAAAAGCCATAAAAAGCACAGGTTAATTCATCACATTGAGTACAATTTTACAGTGCATCAGTTTGGACACCATTCATGACGTCAAAACCGATGGAGAGCCCTGGGACAAATTTTAAATGCACATTTGAGTCCAGGATGTATCCTTTATTTTTTTTCCACTCTTTTCCCTCATTGAGTAAGCTCTTTGTGACGCAGATGTATGTTGACTATTTTTGACTTCCAAGACCATCCATGAGTCAGTTTTCACACACTGTGACCAATCAGCTCCATTCACACATTTCACAGAGGCGAAAAAGCTTTTGACCAACGTTCTCTGCCAGGGCTTCATGCAGTCAAACCAATGAAAACCCAAACTAATTCATATACAAAGAAAATCTTTTGAACATAACTTGCCAATTGGCTTCAGTCATTCTTCACATCGAAAAGACAATCATGTTATCCTGAACTGTCGAAGGCACTGCTGGCAAATATTAGACTTATTGAAGGAAATTTAAATGAGAAGTTTGGACATATTTAGCAATAGTCATAATTATCAGTCTTCTGTTTGTTTTTTAGACATATTTTTTTCACAGATTTTTTTAACAGATGAGCAATTATGGAAAAAGCACTTTTTAAAATTTCTGCTACAAAAAAATGGATCAACAGATGCATCCAAATAAAGTTCCTGAACTTCAACTTCAGCTATGATGAAAGAACCATCTGTATGTGCTGGTTCTTTCACCACAGGCTGAGGCTGTGGTTATCTCTGTCACATGGGAATCTTGCTGAAACACATTTTCTCCTTCCACTCAGCTTTTCATTTATGTCTCAGACAAGTTTTTTAGAAATAAGGGTTTTGGCTTACCCTTCTGTTCAAATGAGAAGTCTTCCTTATGATTATGCAAACCATGAATGACGATTTTTTTTGTATTAGAACCCCAGTTTGATTGGTCTTGTGTAAGCCACAACCTTTAAACATGTGTCTAATGTTCAATTAATCTATTTAATATATGTGTTATATTAAATAGAAGTTTTTTATTCTATAAACTTTTTTTCATAGAAGATTTTTTATTTATTTTTTTAGTAAGATTCCTTTGGGAAAACTCTTAGACATATAAGGCTGTTGGGGGAGAGAGGAAGGGCCAGCAAATTCATAAACATAGCTCGTGGTCCACTGTATTCCCCTTACAGATAACTTTCATCCACTTTTTATATGTTTTCTTTGAATCCCCCTGTAAATTCAGACATGAACTTCAAAATCTTTAGATCAAAGAAGATGAAATTGTCCAACAGATGACTTTCATGTGGTTTTAAGTGAAAGATTTTGATCTATCTTGGCAGCTTGGCTCTGCGATACGGTGTTTCTAAAATCAAGAGGTGGATCACCTTTCACAGCAGAGCAAGTCTACATCACTGAAGTGATATGCGTTAAGCCCAGATCATGCGAGTCTTCTTTTCCAATGTGGGAAATTGAAGACAGTTCCACCGCTAGTCAGGTGGGTTTATTAGTCCTGTCTGGGTTCTCCAGGGGAACAGCGGTGGCCCGGACTGTGCTGGGGACCTTCTTGCTGCCAGAGGCCCTGTCCCCCTTCAGTTTGGCTGACAGGCAGAAGTCCTTGAAGCAGCGTTTGAAGTTCTCGTCCAGGAAGGCGTAGAGGATGGGGTTGAGGCTGCTGTTGGTGTAGCCCAGAGCCACGCAGAAGAAATACGCCGCCATGATGGCGGTGGTCTCGGGTACGCTCACAAGTGCCTTGACCAGGATGAAGATGTGAATGGGCGTCCAGCAGACCACGAACACGGCGACCACCACCACCACCAGCCGTGTGATGCGCCGCAGGTTGCGGTCCTTCTCCCGTGAACCAGACAGCATCCGGACACTCTTCAGTCTCAGGACCATGAGGGTGTAGCAGACGGTGATGATGAGCACAGGCACGACGAAGGCAAACACAAACACACAGATCTTCATCATCGTGTCCCAGTAGGCGTACGGCTCTGGAAACTGTAAGGCACATTCAGTTATGTCTGCAGAGAGAAAAGGATGAAGAAAGGGATTATTTAGTTACAAGAAAGGATTTTATTTGTTTGTAAATGAAGTTCCACTTTCACAGCTTTGTTATGGACGAAGCATGCACTCAGTTGGGAACAGTTTGCTCCTTCTCTTTAGTATAACCTAAAAACTAGCTAGGGGTGAATATCTATCATGGCCAGTTTAAGGTTTAAATGAGTTAGAGCCCATTGTATGTCAAAAAGGGGCATACTGTGTGCATATATCGAATAAAATTAAATATTATTGAGCAGATAAATCATTTAAGTAATGTAACTCAAAAATTAAATAACGCAGAATGCAAATTTCCATTAACATCCTAGAAAAATAAAAAAAAAAAATGCTGTAATTATCTATGTAGATTCTGTCCTTTTTCCTTCCTTATACAATTTTGTTTCAGATTTGTAGTTCGGCAAAATCAGACAACGCTACTAACAAATAAAAGATTACTTGTTTGCTCCTAAAATCCCTTTGGCAAAATTTACAGAGAACCTTAAGAGCTTGGAAAACAGACTGCAAGTTTAATGAGGAGTGAAAGCATTTCCTCACCGCTGTTTGTCTGCGTTCCCCCCAGAACAAAAGCCGGTATCCCTGCAGCCGAGGACAGGATCCAGATGCAGACGTTGATCATCTTGGCTTTGATGGGTGTGCGGAAGTCCAGAGCTTTAACAGGGTGGCACACCGCCACATACCGGTCCACACTCATCATGGTGAGAGTGAAGATGCTGGTGAACATGTTATAGTAGTCGATGGAGATGAAGACCTTGCACACCACCTCCCCAAACGGCCAGGTGTTCAGAAGGTAGTCGGTACTCTGGAAGGGCATGGTGGTGGTGACAAGAGCATCTGCGAGCGCCAAGTTGAAGATGTAGATGTTGGTGGCTGTCTTCATCTTTGTGTATCTGTTAAACATGCGGAACACAGGGCTGTCCTGATGAGACATGACTCCAGCCAACCATTCAGACAGACAGAATCATCAGCATCTTATTGCTTTCGTTTCTCTGTGGAAGACCTTTCCTCTTTTCTCATTAAGTATTAAACAGTGTGCATTAACCCAGAAATCCTTCCTGAATCTCTAACACAATTTGCCTGACTCACACTTCATTGTCATGTATGGTGCTTTGCTCACTGCAGACCTCATGTAATTGGTTTGTTTAAGCTTCATTAAATTATGATGGAGTTTTTAGCAAAGTGGCTTCAGCAAAGTTCACCCATAAGGCTTTATTTAAGTTTTTAAAACAAAAGTTGAGAGTAGAGCCACTGATGGAAAAGCTAGGTTCGACCAAAAGAAAAAGTTAATCAAATTTAGGTGGAGATCATTTTATTTAAAGAAACAGTTCATCTTTTTTTCTGTGGTGGGGTTTGCTTAGGCTTCTGTTCAGCTTGGATCTGAGAACAACCTCACACAATTTATTTTTATAAATTCTAGACAGAAATAGTAATGATATAAACATTTTTTTTCCACTCCTTGTAAAACTTGTCCTTTTGAGAAATCATGTTTCCTGTGCATGAAGACATAAATATTTCCACTGATCATAAAATTAAAGAAAAATTATTTGAAATAATGAATGAATGTCAGGACAATATCATTTAAAGAATGAAATGCTTTTGGTTGTTCAGAGCTCGTCAAACTTACAGAAACACAAAAGGAAATAAATTTAGCTGTTCCAAATCTAATGTAGATTTAGGACAGATCAGGAAAAGAGGTTCAATTTAGACTTACAAATGCCTGACCAGAAAACAGAACTCATTAAAACACTCATACACAGTCCACTCCTGTTTGTCTAATGAACAAGACTTTTTAGTATAGAGTTCTTTGAATTGGCCCTTGGGTTTGGTTCACAGATGGCACGGTGCTGTCACTCGGGTTTTCTGGGACAAACTGAGGCAGATGTCCGTTTAACCCACCAAAAGGTGCCGCAAACAAGCTCAGTGAAACAAGACGGCACAAAAAAGCATTTTAAGGAGCAGGCACAACAAAAGAAAGTGCAGTTAACAAACAATTTTCCAGTTCGTGGAATTGTTTTATACAGAAATGCACTTGAAAAGCAATGTCGAATTTTCGCTTCAAATTTTTTTCACAATCTTTGTTTTGAGAACCACTTAATAGATGTGGTGAGGAATTATGTACATTTAAAAAAATATTTACAAAATACCTACAAAAATTGCCAAATGGCTAAAAACTCCTGGGTAGAAATAAAAAGTTAAGAACTCTAATCCTATTATAGCATTTGAAAATTAGGTGAGTGAACAATTATAGTGCATTCCAGTCTGAGATGTTCGTATCTCCTACGTAGTGCAGATGGCTGCCACAGGAAGCTAGAAAAATAGTCTTTTGCTATTCTAATTTCCAATTGATTCAAAAAAACTCAAAAGCATTTCTGATGCTCTTATAGATTTTTTTTGTCTTTATTGTGAAATTTTGATCTTGCTCAAGACATTCAGTATCTGTAACAGCCTCCGTAACAAATTCTCCATATTGTAATGAACAATGTCTTACTAGAGTATTTAGGAAGACGAGATAGGAAAGAATAAATGACCGTTCCAATATATCTATTGGTTGGATTAGCTAAATCTTAAAGCTTGTTGTGTAGAAACTTACTACAATGAGTTACCAACAGAAAATCTAAATCTTTAAGTGAATTCCTGATAAAGCTTTCTATATAAAATGGAAAGCTGACATTCCTTAAAGAAAAGGACCCAGAGTGACTTATTTACAACAGTTTGGACTATAAAAAAGGGACCCACTGTTAACGTGCAAAAATATCTTGCAGTGTTAATTCCAGACAGGACAGATATGAAACGAGAGCTCCTTCCAAAGTGTTTCAGGTAAACAAAACATTTCTGTGACTCTCATTTATTAGTGTAATTAAATTTTTTTTGTCTCCACTTACTAATCATGAAACCTTTTCTTCCCTCAGTTAAATTGTCATCCACAGAGCATTTCCATCAAAAGACATCTTTTCTTGCAACCAACGTGATAAGATTTTCCTCCAATTACAGGTAAAAGCGATCAATCCCATATTCGGTAATTGTCTACGGATGGAAACGTTCAGTGTGGCATGTCTACATTTCACATTAAACAAAAGGAAGATTTGTCACCTTCACATATCATAAATAATGTCAATGAGATGCAGGATATCTGTGTGAGTAAACAGAACCAGTTTCACTTGTAATTAAAATCCCATTCACCTGACGTTAAAGAATTTATCTAATACTGGTGTTGCATTTTGGAGGTCTTGAGAGTTATTGGATTAATAAAACAAGCTCTTTTCTGTCTCTGAAGGAGGCTGAATCAAATCAGGGCTGCTGTGCTTCACAAGTTTTTTGCTGAATTGGAACTGACAACACACATCTTAACCTTTCCCTCACCTAGATGCCATTCTGTCTGTGATGACCAGACCCTTTAATGATGTAAAGATTTCAAATGTTTTTGATTTCACTCTACAGAGAATCAGCATTGCTGCAAATTAATAAATATATACTTAAGTTGTTACTTAAATGAGCCTTTCATAATTTAAATTATAAGATAACATAGATCATTTATTAAATATAACATCACAGGAACAATGAAAAAAGTCAAAATTGTCTAACATTTAAATACTTAGCTTAGTGTTGGTTTATTTGTGAAATGGAGGAAAAATGTTAAATCATAACAATCATTTCATACTTCAACATTCATTGCCTTTGTCATCCAGGTCCAGGATTATTTATGTCTCAAAGGGCAATTAATGCTACAACCAGTAAAAAACAAAAAAGGCATTAAAAAACTCATTTGTAACTCTTGCTTATGCACAGCTTTTAAAGTGGACCAAGGAGTGAGCCGTGTGGTATACCTGCACCCCAAAGCAAATATAAGTCCAAACAATTTTTTTTCAAAAACTAGTCACTGAAAATAACCTGATTGATTATTTCAGAATGTTATGTTCTAATGTGTTCTACACATCTTTATCAAATCCAGAAACTGTACATTAGCATGTAAATAATTGTGAATACATTTCCTGATATATTTTGTATTTCTGTATAAAAATATTGATCATTAGAGTTAATTTGTAAACTAGCGACCTGTTTTGCACTCAATATGTACGCCATACCATAGATGTTGAGATAACCCTCATTTTAATCAATAAAATATCTGCCTGCATAGAATAGTGAAAAATGTTTCCAAACATATTATTAGGACCACAAGAGTATGTACATTATAATGTCATTCTATAATATAATTTTTCCAATCAGTATGGCTTACAGTTAATGAAAGTCACAAAATTCTGAACTGCTACGCCTACATTACGGCCTACACAATCATGGGGAACAATGTTTATTTGGAAGATGTCCAACATTCAGTCAATGACACCCTCCACAAAAAGGGTCACCAGCAACCACATTGTTAAAGATACTGGCTGTCCACAGAGCAATGCAAAATTAGCAAAAAGTTGAGTGGAAGAAAAAAAAACTGCAAAAGGAAAGTCATCAAAGACATCAGACCCAACAACACAGACCAGTTAACAAACACCAATAAACCAACCTGGGCTTCTCAATAGAAGAGTACATGAACATAACTAACATTTCTGAACTAAAAATAATGGATTATTGGTAATAGTGTAATTTTCTAAGAAACTAAATTGTTCATTTTCATTAACCCAAGTCGTAATTATCTGAAACGTCTGAAACATGAGCTCACCTGATGATCACATACATGACGAGGCAGTTGCCCAGCAAGCCGACCACGAACACCACAGAATACACCGCGGTGATGATGGGGATGATGGGGGACATGCTCTCCTGCTCCCAGCTCTCATCATCGCGGGTCACGTTGCGGCTGTCTCCGGACATCCAAACCGAGGAATTCACCGGACAGTCCTCCAGCAGCCCGGACAGGCACTTGCTCTCTTCTTTGAAAATTTCAACTGGTGCGTTTTCCATGTCCAGATCGTATTTCTCAAGGTGGGCAGGAAAAGAAGAAAGTGGGACCTAAAATGAAATAGGCGCGACAATGCCAGAGATGCGCAAAAAGTGACCAAATCTCTCTAACCATGCGGAACATGTTTTTTAAAAGCACGCACTGGGCATGTTAGTGCAAAAAAATACTCGATCTGAACTAACACGTTTTGATTCAGGAGACACTTGTGGATCATAAATTATCCTAACAGAAATTAAGTCAATAGGAGAAAAGAAAAACGCACCATATTGTCACAAATATTGACAATTCTCGTGATTTACTCACCTTTATCACACAAAATCGGCGGCTGACTCTGTGCTCTAAGAAAAATAAAAATATGATTTTCTCCTTTGCTTGAAGGTTTCAGCTTATCAAAGTTTGGCGATGGCTCTGCGCGCTCGGAGAGCAGAAGCGGCGGTGGTGGAGGCGGCTATGCGGACTCTCGTGCACACGCGCTGTTGGAGGAAAGGATGGCGCGTGCGCGGGCGCTATCAGCTCTCAGGTCCACGGACAGCACATGCACGCGCACCACACACAAGGGCACGCACGTTTTACACAAAATATGAGATGACAGAGCGATGACAATAACCTGGAGGCAGGAGCGGCGCTCTCCGCAATATCTGTGTCATAACTGAGGAAAAGCCGTTCGGCTTCATTAAGCAGGACAACCCTGCTTTGTGTTTTCCAAGTGTCTGAAGGAGACATAAAATATGAAATTGCATAGGGAAATTTCATAAAATGCTCCCTCAATGATTAATGGGAAGGTCTCCAAACATATTGCAGGAGCATCTATGGAGCATGCATGAATATTTATTTGTCTTATTCATCTTTTTTTTTTAAATTATTTTATTTTATAACGTTTTTATTTACATTTTTAACAATGTGATAAGAAGTGACAACAATAGAAAGTTTTTTCAGTCATCTTGTAAAGGTAAGAGAACAGAAAACTATACAATGAAGGTTTTAAGTAATAAAGAAAAAAAAGTTTTTTTTAAAAAAAGCAAGTGTTGACAAAAATGATCAAAAGAGTGGTGTAGATAAATCAAATGTTCAAAATTACTCCCCTTTTTTCCATTTTAATATAAGAACCAAAAGGGATTTATTGAACATACAAGCGTCTTCTGAGTGCAGCGCTATTAAGAATGTTGTTAAGGACTAATGGAGAAGCATTCTGATGATGTAGTAAAGGCAAAGCTTTCGAAGGAGCAGCAGCTTCTTAAAGAGACAGCGGCCCAATTTCAAGGCATTAAATTGCAAAGTCACATTTCTTTTATGTCATGTTTTATAAAACTTGAAGGTAACATGATTGTGCTATAAAATGGAGCTATGTGCCTGAAAAATACATACTTAAATTTTTTGTCACAAATTTGTGGCTAATTCCTATACTTATTTAGATTCAGTGTCTATTTAGAAGACCCATAACATTTTTTTCTCATGACACCAGATATCTTGTAAAGTCCACCAGTCAGTCTCTGCTGCAGTAAAACACTAACTCACTATAATACTGCCTCCTCTGTACTGCACCGCTGGGAGTGTGTCCTCAAGCTTGCACGATTCCCTGTTGTACTTCCAATCTAACAATATTAGATTTGGCCAAACAGCTCAGTTTTGATTTTATATCGCAACAGGACATGTCCAGAACTTGCGTTGTTTGATTTGTGAGTGCATTTGATAACTCTAGTCTGTCTTGCTATGTAGCTGTGTTTCCACTCTGTGAGTCCTTTCAGCCCATGTTGGTGCCGGCCTCGTGGATAATGATTCTCTCTTATCAGCTACAACCATCATCTTCACAAGATTTTTTGCTTCTGCTCTGGGATTGATTCACACACTCCACATCAAAACACATTCATCTCTGGGACACAGAACCTTTTACCTCGTTATGGCTGGACGGTCTCATGGTGCTTATTTGCATATAATTATTTGAACATGGTAGCTTCAGGAAATAGTATCCAAGGATGAACAAGACTCTTGTACTTGTCCTCCTCATATGTCAGTTCATTTCTGTTCATTTTTCTGTTATAAAACTACATTAATTCTGAAATGTACTCAAACATTGCAGGATAAGAAGCTTGTAGCCATCACATTGACATCTGGGGTTTAAGAAGGTAATTAAACATTTTCTCTCATTATTCTGGGATTTAGCAAACAGAAATAACCTTACTTATTCTAAATTAAAACAAGAAAAAATTAGCCTGATTTAAGCTCAGAAACATGAAAAAGGTTATGAGTCTTAGTATATATAAATATCTGTCAGCTGTACGCGAGATAACAACAGAGACCCAGCTGTGCTTCCAAATTCCTTGGCCTCATGTTTTCAAGAGTGTGTTTAAATTGTGAAATGTAGCGAGAGCTCAGAAAAGACATGAAACGTGTATCGGAGGGCTTTCAGCCCCGGGTGTGTGCACTGATGAGGGTCATAACCACTTTCACTGGACACAGCACTGCACTTTTCAAGGGATTTCTGCTTTACTGGACAGAGAAAAAAAATCAGGGACAGAAAAAAGGGATGATGTACGACTGAGGTCCTACGCAGACGGATATTAAACCACCCAACCAGCGAGGAAACTGGCCCATAATTTCACAATGTGAGCCCATTTAGAAGAGAACAGCCTGAGTATTTCAGGACACTCCGAATAATGTGTAACTATAAATCTTTGGAAGGTCTTCTGAGCAGAATTAGGTTCTCTGGATGGATAAATCCCGTAAAAATTAACATAGAGGAACAGGATTATAGCACAAAGGTGCATGTGATTTGTAGTTGCTCTTTTCTATCAAAACAGAAACTTTATTGCCACTTCATCGAATTAATGCTAATAAAGCACAATTAATAACAAACCAGTGCTACAGCAACAAAGTGTCAATAGATGGTAAAACAAAATTCTGAAGGACAAAAAGTGTACAATTATTGATCCATAAAGTTACCAAAAACATTTAGTGCTATTTGTTTATAATAAAATTACTTATTTCATTGGTTGCTTTCCATTTCTTTTCATCCAGATGAATCTTAACTGGGGAATCAGCAGCCTCACTGCCTGTCAAATGAAGCTGTTGCACATGGCGGTTTGTTCATGATTCAATGACACGATATCTTCTTCCACATGACTGGAAGGTTATGCAGCTTCTAGGAGAAGTGAAGGGGGGCTTCTCATCTTTCTTTATTTTTGTTTTCCTCATTAGTAATATGCTCACCATTCGAAACAGTTGAACATCAGAGTGGTCTGATTTGAATGTTGTTGGTTCCACATGCAGATCAGTGGTGAGTATGAAAATAGCTGGATTTGTGGTGACATGTCTCATCGAGAATGAGCACGCGAGATCAGACAAAGTTTCGGTCCACGAGTACATTTCTTTTGCTTTGGCTCTTTTGTTACATTTACATATTTGAGAACATCAAACCCACTTCAATACCAAATAAATATAACCTAACTATGTGCAAAAAGCAACTCAAAAATTATTTAGTTTCTTGAAAAAAAAGAAGACATCCAATCAACTTTACAATGTTTGAAAATGTAACTCCTAATTATTAACCAGATTTTCATTCAATTTCACTATTGAAGACTGCAGAATAAAAAATAAATACTTTATCAGAACCTGTCTTGCAACATGAAGTAGGCAAAAAAAAAATCATCATCATTTGGATGTTAAAGAAAAACACAAGCAAAAACGTTGTTGCTGTTTTATTGTTGCAGCTTTTCTTATTTAAACAAGGACACATTTTGGTTTCAGCAAGATATAAATTACGTATTGAGTCTTACATCTCCTTAAAACAAGAAAACAAACTAATTTTTACAAGTTTTGCATCTTGTTATCTTATTATAATGTGACTGAATTTATTTCAAAGCAATGGCAGTTAAACAATTCTGTGTGATAATCCTTTGGTGTAACTTAATTTATAAAAATATGTATTGGCCCACAATTTAAGAAAAAATATGTGGAAGATTCAGTAAAACAGAATACAATTGCTCAGCAGGCAAAAAACCCCCATCTATGCCTCACCTATTGAGGCATAGATGTTTTTTGCCACAAGGACAGAAAGAAAATTTAGACAACCTTTCTGAGTGAGAGAAAATTCATATAAAATTCAAACTCGCTTCACAATTATTTTTTTTTTCAAGACATTATAGCTACATGCAATGTGGATAAAAAAAATAGTCCAAATAAATTATTAATGAGCTCCAAACCTGATCAGGATTCCTGTATACTTCCCTTGGTGCCAGTTTAGATGTGCCAGTTTCAACTAATCTGAACTGTCTTCCATTTTCCATCATTTGCTCTCATCTACACCAAGCTGCATTCAAATCAGAGCATTCCTTCCAGGTGCCTTACTTCATTCTAGACAGGTTTTGTTACTGAGTGTAATTTACCACAGAGTAACACGATCCCTAAATTGATGTTTTTCAGCAGTTGAGGAAGCAGGGAAATCCACATAAATACCCGCAAGAGGATTGTGCAAACCCGGAAATGTCTCTGGAGATATTTAAGATGGGAAGTTACAGTAAACAGTCTGCACCTCCCCATCAAGGTTTTATATTATTTAAGGTTTCAGTACATGGCCTTCGGAAGGAGTTACAGCCCACATCTTTTCTCAACCTCTTCATATTGTAGAAGCTGGTGCTGGAGCAGGTCAGGAAGAAAATCTCTCCAGCAGACAATCTGCTAAGAGATCCACAAACCATTTTCTTCTAAAAAAAAAAAAAAAGGGGGAGAGCATTGGAATTTTACAAAACAGTGCCATGCATTAATATTAAAAGTAAAAATTATACCATTTGTCGGATTTTGACATGTTTTATTTGGATTTGGACCAATAAAAAATTATCCAAAATGCTTCTATATTTTAAAATTAAAATGTTAAAATTACAGCTGACTTCCATCCAGCTGAAAGCTGGATGGAACCACATGGAAGCTGACTTCCATGTGGTTCGATATTCACATTCACCTATTTGCAGATTTTTTCATGGAGAATATCTAAAATATTTGAAAGAATAAAAGCAGAAGTAAGTAAGACTTTAGCTTCTGTTGAGTTAAAACAGTTAGTATGTATGAGTATTAATGGATATGAAGGTAAATTTGGTGTTTGAACTAACAAAATAGGCATTTATTAGCATTTTTAGTGGGAGTCTCAATTCTTCAAGGATTTTAGTTCTCATAAGTGGTTGTGGTCCATAACCTCTGCAAATACCAGAGATCCACGGTACACTTTTGTCTTGGTCCATAAATTCAGTAAAATCACTTAAAAGTTTGTGGGTTGAAAGTCACAAAACATGGAAAATGTTCAAAATACACAACTATTTTTTCCTTGGCATTGCACACCCTCAAAACCTATATATTGCATCCAACCCCCTTCCAATGCCCTCCCCTAACATGCATTAAAGTGAAGAAAAGGGACTCTTTAAAACTCCTCCATCTTTCCA